GGGATTCCTCGCAGGAACTCGCTATGCAAGAGCTTAAAGATGAATTTAAGGAGGGAGGACGCGTACTGGGCGTGCCGTACTTTGATGATGAGGCTTAGAGACCCTTCATAGTAGCCACGGATGCTGGGCCTTGTTCGGTAGGAGGGTTGCTGTCTCAGAAGGACGCTGAAGGGAAGGAAAGACCATTAAGATTTGAGAGTAGGACACTTAATACGGCAGAGCGAAACTACAGTCAATTCAAGAAGGAAGTATTAACTGTTCTGCGGAGTCTAGACACGTTCAGACATTATGGACGACGGTTCATCTTGAGAGTGGATCCCACCACGGTCGCCTCTGTCCTCCAGAAGGACTTTAGCCTGACGACCCGACCATTGCACGATGGTTAATACGGATTCGGTCATATGATTACACCGTGGAGAGGATATCTGACACTAAAAATGTCGAAGCGGATGGGCTCTCTCGGATCCCTTTTGAGGGCGAGCGCCCGATAGTAGCTGGAGCCCTGACAATGGCAGAGCCGAGACGCGCCGAGAGATTTCTAGTTAATCTTTATGAGGGCAAGTACCGAACGATCGGATTACACCTGACGGGAAAGGAGAGTCAAGATTTAGATATCCGGAGACAAGCAGCCCAGTACTGCCTTAGAGCGGGCCACCTTTTTCGGAGGCCAGTACGGTCGGGGATGCCCTTACGAGTAGTCTGTATCCTGAAGAGAGACAGACGATAGTAGCGGAGCTTCACGACGGGGTGGTCGGAGGACATAGAGGAGTCAGAGGGATCTACGAAAAGGTACGCAGGCTGTACTGGTGGGAAGGACAGTATAAGGACGTCGAGAGATATTGTATGACCTGCGAAGAATGCCAGAAGAGAGCTCTTGTGAAATACAAAGAGCCACTTCATCCATCCTATCAAACCCGACCAGGAGAGAAGGTACACATCGATCTGGTGAAGATGCCGAAAGGGGTAGGCAATATGAACTATGTTGTGAACATATGAGACAACTTCACGGGGTTCGTGGACGGTAGACCTATCAGGAGTAAGACGGCAAGGGAAGTGAAGAACTTCGTCCTAGAGTACTTATCTATGTATGGTTGTGTCAGCAAGATAGTGATGGACAGAGGAGCGGAATTCCTGGCTGACGAGGTTCAGAATGTATTCAAGAGAGCTGGGGCGAGAGTTTCGATAGCCACTGCCTACCACCCACAGTCGAACTCCCCAGTAGAGAGAGGGCACCAGACCCTGATAGCGTCGCTATCTAAGTGGTGCAAGGGCAAGGACAGTGATTGGCCACAATATTTTCGATATGCAATTTGGGCGGACAACGTCACGGTCCGGGCTAGCACGTGATACCCTCCATCCACCTTGTGGTTTGGGCGGCATTGTCCGCTTCCCATAGAGTTTCACGTCGACAGCTGGACAACCGTCAACTGGGCGGAGGAGATGTCCAGAGAGGAACTCATAACTGCCCGAACAAGACAGATAGCCTACGGTTTGGAAGATAACCTTATGACAGCGGCAGATCGTCTGGCAGTGGAAAGAGACAAAGATAAAGAGAGATGGGATAAGAACGTGAGAATCAGGAAGGAGAGGGTGAGTGTAGGAGATATGGTCCTTCTCTACGATGCAGCGCTGGAAAGAACCTGGACCGGAAAACTCGCCAACAGATGGATGGGACCTTACAGAGTGGTTGAGACACTCGACGAGGGTGCATATATGATAGCAGAATTAGACGGATCCAAGTGGAAGGACCCAGTGGCGGGTGCTAGGTTGAAGCTGTTTAGGCCCAGACCCGCGCCCGCCTTATCGCTGACCAGCCCGAAAGGGAAAGGAAAAACCATAATGGAGGATGAAGCCCCCTTGAGGCAATTCGAGGCAGGGGAGAGTTTCAAGAAAAGGAAAATAATAGAGAAGAGAAAAGTCAAAGGGTGAGCTTTAGGAAGAGAGAAGAGATGGTTATTCGTGCTCAAGCGAGCTAGATGGAGAGTTCGCGTTAGGCGTACTGGCGGGTCGACACCCTTCTCGGGGCAAAGACAGAAGAAAAAGAGGATCGTGCCGAGGCAAAAAACCAGAAGAAACAGGAGAGTCAAGAAGCATCTTCTTAGCCCCAGGACTCGTAACAAACTGAAACATAAGACAATTGAACGCCGACGTGGGCGTCCTTTACGGGCCATCACCCTGAAGCTCATCCGCTTCGTCTGACGTAAGTTGCTAGGGCTCGACGGGGGTGTCGAGAAGTGGTCTGGGCTAACTGTCAGGCGGCCACAAGCAGTGCGCCGCCTGAAATCTACGGTTTTGCGACTTAGGCGCAAAGACGAGTCCGAGTTTTGACGGTACTCTGGTTAGACCAGGCAGCGGAAATACGAGTCTGAGTTTTGACGGTACTCTGGTTAGACCAGGCAGCGGAAATTAGGGGAGCTCAGGGCGCCCTTGATTTTGGGCACGCTGAACCTTACGGGTAACCCTCAAAGATGGCGAGATGGGTGGTCGCACTCGGCACATCAACGGACGGTCATTTCCGGCCGTTCAGAGGGTTAGACCCGGATTGGCCTGCCGCGGAGAGGCATCGCGGGAACTGACCTCGCAGCCACATTTTTTGCGGCATACGACCGGGGCCGAAATGAAGCCTCAAATTTTTGTCTATTTTAGTACCATAATTAAAGATGGGGAAAAGGGATTACGACCAGTAGGGGAGAAGGGAAAAACATAATATCCCTTAATTTCTTTATTTTTTACGGCATTCAATTCAAGGGGGAATACCCTTGTTATTTTATGTTCCCGGCAATGAAATTAAAAA